GGAAATAATATACAGAATTTTTTTATTCGATTTGTTTATGTGAAATGACGATGACGTTGAACTCAGTGATTTAATTGAAATTTCAAAATTCATATGGACTGTTAATATTCTAGATTTGAAATTTGAATCAAATGTTTCTTCAAAACAATATTCTTATCATCAATCATATATAAGACATCTATGAACAATAATTATTTAGGGTATAGAAAAAGTAGTGAAGTTGATACTTTAAATTCTTATAGAATTCTCTTTCTACATATATTGATGTGTCCTAGTGAAGTTCTATAATCCTGAACGTAGCGTCTTGAGATTATGGAACGCTGAATTTTCCAAAAACACTCATATCTGAAGTGTACAAGAATCTTGAAGTTTTGAAAATTCAATAGCTCGTATAGGAAACATTCTTATGGACTGAAAATTTTCAGAACATTCTAGTTACAAGTACATCTATCTGTGAGTGAAATCTCATACTGAAATATTCCTACTTGATTTATTGATGCGTGCCGTGTTATAGCCATGAATTCCAGTAAAACGACCATAACTTAGAAAGGAAGCTCTAAAGATACTTTTCTTTCAGAGTTTTCTTTATTTCACTCGGAACTCCTTATGCATAGAGATTGGAGTCGAAAACAATTGATCACTTGAAATGATTTTCTCGATAGACATATATGTTTTTTTTTTTGTCTCGTCTGTTAGCAAGCGGTCTTCATACTTGGGAAAACAGATCTTGTTTGCCTTTGTGCATATATGTAATTAGTTGTTCTGTGTCCTCAAGAAGAAACTTTTACAAAAAAATTAACAACGAACTTGAACATATCGAAAATTTGCTATTATAACATTACCTGAAAAACAATAAAATATTATAGAATTCTAGAACTCGATTTGGGCTATCAGTATATGTTTAAAGACAATATCCTCAAATCTTCTATAAGACTTTACAGTGTCGCCGTTAACACTTTTGATATCCATTAAGTACTGATGTTTAGATATGTCATTATGTCAATATTTGGTCGGATTGTAGCTAATGGCAATTTCAATGTTGTATCAAATGAATATAAGCTAATAGAGAAGTATATAAATTTTTGAAATAATAATGTGAGAAGATGTTTTTAGAAGAATAAAACGTATACTTACTTCTAAAGTTGACAAATTTATCGCTTATATATCAAGAAAAACGTGATTTTTCATCTTTATTTGTTTCGAATTTTGTTGGACGAAAAAGGTGGCAGCCCGAATCTAGTACATGTTGTAAAGAAACGTAATATGTACTATAATTGTCGTCATTTATATAATGGTTAATGCTTTATGTGTTTAATTTAAAAAACATTTGTGTGCAATCATTTTCCTGGCTTTTGAATTTCTGTGACTATAATTATTGAAAAGTCGCAATAAACGTCATTCCATTACAAATCTATTTATTATTAAGATTTTAAAATTGGTCTTCAGAATTTTAATAGCTAACTATGATCTACGAACTCTGAAAGTTTCATGTGGTTGAGATCTCATAGAAATGTTCATCTCTTTCTCTCTCTTTGTTCTCACTTCGCTACATCCATCTAGATCCATATTTTCACTAAGAAGGAAGCAGTGTTGGCCAGACATCTATTAATATCATTTTACTAGCATTTGAAGTAAATATATCAAGCGATTAATTTTATTCAAATATTAAAGTAGTAAACTAATTAGAATAATAAAATAAATAGTTAAAAATAAGTTGATTAATAGAGGGATTAGTAATGAAGATATAAAAAAATGGTAAGTCATGTTGCAGTAAAATAATTAGAAAGTTTTAAATGTACCATAGATTTCTTATTCAATTATAACCTTTTCCGTACCACATCGACCAAAGTTTTCTGGTGAATACATTTCTTCAGCTTTAGCTGGTGGAATGATAAATGTTCCAGCACATGTTGCACGCATTACATAGGTCCATTCATATACACCAGGCCATAATAACGATCGAAATGCTTCAGCACGTTCATCTCGTAAATTTTCATGCTCAGTCCAACCAATAGTTGAATATGGTCGACATCCACAATAATAAAGATTTCTGTTTGATCTTGTTACTGATGATTGTGTATCGCCAGTCAATGTACCTTTTAATTGTGTATTTAATGGTTCACAACCAGCTGGTAAATAATCAACTAATGCTATATGATATCGTCGTTGTGTTGTTGTCATTGTTAATATGACTTTGATTTTTTCACCTAACTTGAATTTCCATGTACTATCTGATTGTTTCTGAACATGTAATGAATCATTGATAGCGACGTATGTTCGTTCAATTTTAAAACCATAGTTAACTGCATTTAATTGTAAATTTGATGGAGCGTAATTCAATGCAATACGATAATATAATCGACCATTACCATCTTTGTGCATGATTATATTTTTCTTATTATTATTATTACTTGTGTCGGATGGCGATGGTGATAAGATTACTTTCATCGGAATATTTACTGTATGTGTATTTGTCGTTCGGCCTTTATATTAAGAAAATACATCAGAATACATTATATATTGTGAAATCATCATGTTAGTAGTACTTGAGTTAGAAACAAACGTTATTCGAAAATATAATGAGGAATATAGGAATATGAATTATTGCTAGAAGTCACAAACTAATAAATATGAGGAATAATTTATCTTCATATGATACATGAAGTTAAAGAAATAATTCAAAATCTATTAGAAAAGAACTGACAACGTATGAAAGCTACAGTTTAATATACGTATATTTAGAAATAGATAGATATAAATCATTTCTTGTAGACAAAGATAACTCATTTAAGGAGCCTTGAGGTCTAACCAAAAATTTTACAAGGATAATTATATTATCTAGAAAACCATGTTTCATTTTGATTTCAATTCTACTATAATGCTGCTATATGAATATGATTACATTCACAATATTGATGACACAGTCATCATTGTTCTTATGATATGATCTTACCTTTATATTGATGTTGACCACAATAATCATTGTCAAGCCAAATATTAGCAACAAAATCTGGTGTATCTTTTTCCTTTATGTGAAAATATTTATCTAATGCAATTAATACAAAACAATTTTCCTGTGTAGACTTCCATGCACCTTTCACTTTATGTGCCTGTAGACCTTTACATAATTTAGTACAAAGAGTTGAATTTGGATCAATATATAATAATGCTTCTAACAATATAGCATCTGTTCGTTGATTTGAATGTAACATGACTGATTGACCATCATCACCATATGATGTAATAAAATTAGCTGTTTCACTTGTTTCACTTACTTTACCTTTGAGATGTTTGTATATTATTTCAATTATTTGATCTTTATTATTATTTTTATCCGTTGATAATGCTACTAATAGCCATCCTAATGCTTCTAAACTAAGTTTATCAAATCCACTACGCTGAAACAATTGTGAAGCTTTGTCAGCTACATTTTGAAGATGTTTTGCTCGCACATATAATGCATAACTTATCAAACTAAATCGAGTTAAGTCAGACCAATACTTAGTGTGTGATAATTGATTAATTTCAGATTCAATATTTTCAAGATATTTTAGTGAGTTGTTCAGCATGCTGTTGTTGACATCAAATACCTGTAAAATAAGATAACATTTTTGAAAGCTTTGGTTGATATTTAAAAGTTTTTTTATAGTGTAGTTGTAAGTGAAAAACATTCACTGTAAAAAAGAAAGATTTTTAAAAATGACAGACTTCATTTGATGTAATCTTTCTTAATCTGTTTTAATTGGTTACAAAACTCTAATCAATTGTAATTGATATAATAGTAATAATCGATTGAAATAAATCAAAAAGAAAAAGATTAAATCAAATGAAATTTGTCTTTAAAGGCTAAAAGTTTTGATTAAAGGCAGATTATAGTCATGCAGTTATAATCGATTTTTAGCCTTTGTCTTTTTGAATGGGATAATGAAGTTTTAAACAAAACTTTCTCAAGCGTGCAGAATATCTTCAACTACGCAACTGATACTTATTTCTCACTATTTTGAACAAAGAATTCATATTTTTATGAATAAATCATTTTCACAATTTTAGAATGAATTAAATACTCTATTCATGTGATAATTGTATTAATGATTATTTATACAATAAAACTCTTACCTTTTTATTCACAAGAACGGCTAAACAATGTGCAACATGCACACTCATATATGGATCAGCGTAAGAGTCATTTCGATTTGTCCAATAACCAAATCCACCATTTGAATATTGACGACCTTTTAGTGTATTCAGATCTGACTCTAATTTAGTTTTCAATACTGATACATCAGGTAAATCTTTACAATGAAATGCTTGTAAAACATCCCATAGTGCTTGTATACCTAACAGTCTTGAACTTAATTGTTCTGTACATTCATATGGATATGTATAGAGTAAAATAATTGCATCTGTTAATGATGCTAATGCTGTTGAACTTGTTGTTATTGATAATTCACCAAATTGTGGAATAACATTTTTTGGTGTCTCTACTGGTTGTAAAACTACTTCTTCTTCACATATATCACCGTATGTTGCAAATGCTTCAGATGTTGCTGGTGTGAATATAGGTAAACTTAGTTCAATGGCATCACCAAATTGTGCACATGTTTCATTTTTGACAGTACTAACTATGAATTGAAATCGAGCTGTACCAGAATGAATTGTTGACAATGGAAATGTAAGAGCAGTACGTTTACTTGGTTGCAGTACAATTGAATAACCAACTGCTTGTTGATTTGTTTGTGACGTTAATAATTTAGCATTAGTTGCTCTTAAACCAGCATGTAGTAAGAAGGATAGATCAGTTTGATTTTGTAAAACAACTGAGATATGAGCTGTATCACCATAATTAAGAAACCGTGGTGGTGAAGGTCGAATCATAATTGGTAATTGTACAGTAAATGACATTTCACCTAAGCCATATTGTTTATCATTCGTTGCTAACGTCCATACACGATAGCGTGTTAGATTATCAGGTAATTTAATTTCAAATGAAACACGTCCTGATGAATTAGTCATTGATGATGGTATCCAACATGCTAGTGGATTGAAATTCGATCGAACAGCTATTTTTTGTTCAGCATTAGAATCACTGAAACCGCCATATCCGAAACTAGCTGAACAGGTCATTCTCATACATTCGGGCATCGATTGTAAACAGCATAATTCGATGTGGTCGAATAAAGATTGTCTTTGTTGCATATCTTTCCTAAATTTTTCTATATCTTGCATATTGAATAACAAACAACGATTTCTATCATGATATTGTGTAATATTTTCTGATCGATTAGGATAAAATATATCTAATGGACTATCTAATTTGTGACCAGTCAACGATAAAATTGCTTCATCAACAACAATGAGGCAAACTTCTGCCTTGTCCACAGGTAAGTTATCTACATGCTGTGTAACGTCGACATCTATATGGATAATTGATGATGGTGTATATATTTTATTTGTTTCTTTTGTATTAATCAAAACATTCAATTTATAAATATCTCTTGATACTTCTAATGTTACTGAACCAGTAGCGATTGCTGGGCGATGTGGTGAATCAATCACTTCCGTTTCTCTTGGGATTGAGCCTGTTAGTTCAGCGTGAACTGTGAAATTTGGTATCCAGTCTTTGGATATTTTAAATTCAACAGTTGTTGAATTTTTTCCAAGTTCTATCTGCAATTGTATTGGTTGTGAGACTTGACCATCACAATCGAATATAACTAGACCATTTGCTGGACTAAATGGTGCTAGTATTAGTAATTCACATGTGTCATCTGGTTGATAATTTTTTGCATTTGGCACAATTGTGATTGTATCCGTTGGAACATAATCTACTTTTTGTGTTTCTATTTCTTTTTCGTAACCACCAGAGACATAAAAATTATCATAGAAACTCATAGCTAATCGTCCTTGTTCATCTTTGACACTGTATGACATGTTGTATCTACCCCCTAGTATTAAACAGAACTTAGAAAATGTTGTCAAAAGAAGCACTTTGATCATTTCTCAAATGAAAAATCGCTGTTAGCTTGTCCTCAACTCTTAGTATACGATAACTTTTTATATAACGGCTTAGCAGTGCATTTTATAGATAAAAAATTAGACACTTTTCTATTAATTTTTTTATTCATTGTTCTTCTCTTTAACTAAAATAAGTGGAGGATCAACAAAGTCTAAATTGTTAAGGCACTTCTTTTGATAAAATGAGACAGCGAAAAGATACCCTGTACATGAAAAGTGATGCATTGTTTGTGATGACGCTTGAAATATATTCTCAATACAAGATAATGCATGAATACACATAGTTTTGTTATCGTTACTATAGTACAGATAAAGGTCTCATTTCTGAGAAGTGTGAGTGAAAGATGAGAGGATTGAAAAGCGTGGGAAGAATAGAACCAATAATAGAAGATAAGTGCAAGTCTCATTCTGTACAGTGTCACTAAAATACGCTTCAACCCATTCTCACCGCTGTTTCATTCAAAGATAATATCAATCGATAGAGCTTGAAATTCTGCATTCATAAGACTCCATATCAAGCTCCTTTCTTTAAGAAAAAAACCTTTAATAAAAGAATCCAATATTATTTTGATGGATTTATTCTAACCTATTCCAAGGTATACCAAGCCATTTTAAGCTATTACAAGGTTTAGGATGACTTGAAATGGCTTCTTGGCATGGAATGAACTAGAGTAGGCCTATCGAAATGACCGTTGATTCTTTCATCAAAGATTTTTTTTAAAGGAATTGGTTTGATGTGGGTTATCATCAATGTAGAACTTCAAGCTCTGTCGATTGATACTATCTTCGAGTTAAACGGCGATCAGAGTAGGTTGAAGCGTATTTTACTTATACCCCATTCTTCAAGATGTGAACTGTTTGATTGGTTAGCTTTAACCGTAAGGGGCCAGAATCAGCATAAAAACATATACTATGAATGTCTCAACCATGTAACTAATCCATAAGAAAAATTTCCAAAACTATCATCTGTATTGTTATGTATAAATTGATCTTTATATTGATCATTAATTTAATTACAAAATGTGTCTTCAATAACACTGAAGAACACCCGAGACGAACTGTGAGATAGTAATTTACACAGATTTTCGAAGAGATAGACTAAGGTATTCTTTACTTACACAATTTGTATCGAACGTGTCAAATTTATTCTACATGTAAAATGTACATACTACATACAATATTCAAGTTTGTATGCTCAAAGAATTTACAAATATGCTAATTGACTACGAAAAATGACTATTTACAAGTTGATAAAATTAACCAGTATCGCTTATACTCATGTGAAAATGATAACATACTTTAATATACAAAATCATACTCTGATGAACTTCGACTTTATTTTTCATCATATATTCAACTTTTTACCTACCTAATTTTGGTGTGTAATCAATATTGACCGCATCTTTATTTGAACTAACAACTGCTAATGTTTGTTCATCTTTTATTTCTTCAAATACTGTTAAACCATTTTCATCTTCTTTTCTTTCCTTACCATATCCAATTACTTTACATTCAATCAAAATATTATCAATTAAATTTCCATCAATATCTGTTACAATGACTTTTGTTTGTACAGGTTTATTTTTCTTGCCGTAATTTGTTGATAATTGAAATCCAACGTAATATGTGCATGGATGTATGATGAATTGTGTTTTTGTTTCCTGAATTTGATTATTTAAATCAGTAATGGCTGCTAATGCATGAACAATTGTTGTTCTTGGCTCTTGTTCAATACCATGATAACTAATTTTTATTTCATGTAGACCTTTATTGTTTGTTTTACCCTGAAAGTAAATCAATGGAATCACTTAATCAACACATCGATTGAACTACTCTCTGTTGAATTTGTGGGATGTTTAATGACGTTCTAAAAACTCAGCTTGCAAAGCGTGAAGTGCTTGGGATCTTTCACATTTTTACATTTTACGTTATAGTAAATAAACTGTATATAATTTAATAAAGATATTAATTAGCTGTCTAAATTAAAAGACTTTATACTTCTGTACAGATTCTTTGTTAGAGTTTTGGAATATTTACTAAAACAACTACATAGTTTTCGTCCAATGATTTATAAATACGTTTTCTAAACAATTTTATACTTCTTAATTTTCGAGTCATGACGTTATTGTAGTAGTTTTAGAACTAACAAGGGCCGCAAACCAAGTGACGATTGATTCTGAGACAAACAACTCATAGAAAAACAAGAAGCTGACAGTTTAATGACTATTATCACATACAAATCTTTTCGTTATCTGGTGAAAGAAACAGATAACAGACGGTTTGATGATCAAGGTTGATGTACATTTTATGTCTGTTATATATTTTGAAAAATTCTTCATAAGAGCGGTCCTTCGTTGACTGGTCAAAATTGGCTTGCTTATGAGTGGATGAGAGGATGGTAACAACGAGAAAATTAATATCAGCATGAACGGCAATTCTTCATCGAATTAATGCACAAGGACTGGAGGGCTTCTGTCTGACTGAACACATACTCAAAAATAGTTAGAAGAGTCACACACTGCTGGAAAATGTTCATCTCAGAAAGATTGTATCTTTAGCTGTCTAATACTTCATCTATATGCATTTTTCAGTAAAATATTCATATACATGTATTTCTGTTAAGAAAACATTATTTCATTTTTCAATCATGTAGTACTTGAGAAAAGTGCTGAAACTGGTACATGTCTGCTTCTATCTGCAGCTTTCAGTATACTTTGTGTCTATTAACTAACTGTTAACAATTCATCATATCTAATCGTAGTGCATATTTGTTTCAATCTAATTCAAAATTGCTTTTTCTAAGAGCAAATTGCTCTTTTGTGTTTAAATTAAAATTATTTTACTTGAAAATACTTTTCTGGATATGAAATTTCAGTTTGATTATTATTACCAAACCAGCAAAAGAACGGTTGAGCTCTACCAAATATATAGTCAGATCTTTTAGGTGGTGTAAATGTTGTTGTTCCAGCTTGTACTGTCCATTGAATATTTGCATCATTTAAATAGCCACCAGCAAATAATTTTCCTTGACAAGTAGCTATGACATATTCATCAACGATTGGATGACAATAGCGTGCTATTGTTGGTCGAACCATTGATGAAACTTCATATTCTGGTTTTCTGAACTCTTGAACTTTAAAATAATGCGTTGTGCTACTTTGTGAGTCTGGTAAACTGAACGTTACGTATCCATTACCTAATCATAATAGAAATTCAAAATTAATCAATTCTTCTTCATATTTACAAACTTTCACAAGAATAGCCTTTTAAGTAACTATGTATATAGACAGCTGAGTACAGAGATTTAAATTTTTAATTGTGAGAGATTGTTACTCGTACTGTATTTCCAAGCATAATGAAGAGATATTAGACAAGAATGATTTTTATTTAGGTCTTTTTAATATGTACTTAATATATGGTTGAATTTGTTTCTGTCTCCAAAGTAGTATAGCACATTCTGTTACACAGCATATCATATGTAACGACGAAACTCTTAAAATAAGTCAGAAATTTGGTTACAGACTTCTATGCAACTATCACGATGTGTAAAGTAGTCTGAGTAGGTTGAGTATATCACATATACTAACTGATTAAAAGACAATAAGCGGAAGGTGGTAGTTTTTTCCTTGAACTATCTTGGTGTGTTAAGATATTTTGTCTTTTAAATCTTTAGTTGCGAAATGAATATTATTACACGTAAGTTTCACATACATAACAAAACCAGACTAGGGTAGGATGAAGTGTCGGCTGCGAGTATTTATGTATTCACCCAAAAATGCTTGTTGAATATGAAAAACAAAGATCGATTACAACTATGTGTGTTTAACGGCCGTTTAAGCTAATGGTCAGCATATAAATAAAATACAGCTACGTATCTATCCTACTCATTCCACTTTGCACATACATCCTAGTAAGTAAAGATAAAAGTACAATATGTAACATCAGAATTATTATATTCGTCCAATATTGACATACTATCAAGATCGCTTATTTGTTAAACTTCCCTCTTTCAGAATACATTGCACTAGAGCTATATTTAAGAATTTTGAACGACTAGAGTTTGGTGCGATGCATATATGTCATAAAAAAAATCAATAAATTTTTTCTATAATTATTACAGAGAATGCATTGAATGAATAGATGGAATTTGAGTTTTTGTTATCATATTCTAAGATGAATTTTATATCAATGTTGTCAGTGACATTATCATATTTTCATACATGCAATTAGTGAAAGTGTTCAAGTGAACAATAATGCACACTTCAAAAAGAAGTCTAATAAATTTAAAACTCATAGACACATAACGATATTATGATGTGAATTGAGAACTCATTTGATAATCTACTCATTTTTCTTGCAAGTATCTCTAGGTATATGAATTTTCGACTTTATGGAAACTCGGTTGGTGATATTATTTCATTACGATTTCTAAACACCTGATCTGATCGACTGTAAAACTTAATCATAAATAGTAGACAACATTACGTAAATACATAATTTTTGTGACTTTATCATCTTTACTTTCTGCATCATGGCAAAAAAAGCTAAGAAATGTCTTAAATTTTCTAAAATTTGAAAAAAATAGGAGATAGAACGAAACAAATCTACATCTAGATAATGTTCTCTAGTATTTATGATAAAGTTTTGAATTTGATTAGATCATGATATTAAGAAATTTCAATGTAATTGGGTTGAAATGACTGTAGAAAACGCGTAGTGAAGAAAATGCATGTTGTAGATAGGGCACTTATCTCAGAACTTTTATCTTGATGCTTGTATTTCTACCAGAACTCATCCGAGAATTCTAAAAGACGTCTTTTTGTGTGGATAACATATTTTTCTATCGAGCCATGTGAAAACATTCCAAATGTACACGTGAATACGACAATCAAACTTGAGCATGCAATTTTAATCGCACACTTTTTACTTACAAGAGTCTCTAGGAGTTCTTTAGAGTTCTCTGAAAACTTCTTAAAAACTTGAAAACCAATCATCAAATTACTTATTCATAAGGTTTGTTGATTCATAAACTCTACAGTTAAAAAGACAGGATTTTTTTTCTGAAGAACTGCAAAAGACTTTCAGAAATATGAAATTAGAAAAGTTATAAAACCATTCTTTTTTATCTAAAATACCTGATATTCTTAAGACATCATCCAAAGAGTTTTTTCTGTCTTAAGAGTTTGCCATAACGTCTCAGAGACTTCTCGAACAGCCTCAGGTATAAATGATCATTCTATTTTGACGATTAAATGCCTCATAAACACGAAAAAGTATAATCATCGAAGTCAATGGATATAAAGCCAGCAGATGAAACTTAAGTTAGAAGACTTTACACGCACCAACAGAAAACTTCTAATGAAATTTTCGTTGCTACAAAAAGAACCAACTTCAGGATGCTAAATATAATATTTGAAATTGTTTTGACTGGTGCTCTTGAATACATTACTAATCTTACTTGCAAATATATGTTAAATGAAAAGATGTAGGATACGTGAAATACATGACGGCTAAAGATGGGGAAAGCAACAAATACAAACATACAACTTTACCTAAGTTAACATTGTCAGGCAATGTAAATTTTATATCAAATGCACCATAAATATTCAATTCTACTTTTGACTGTTGAAGTTGTTGACCACGAGGATCGTAAATTGTATAATCAATTGTACCTCGAGCATAAGTTGGTAATTTTGCTTCGCCTTTTACTTTCAGCAATCGAACATAACCTTTTATATGTACATCTTCCTTTGGTTTGTATAAACCCCGATCATTAAATACATGCCAAACATAAGCATTAAGAACTGATGCATCAGTATAAATATTTACTGACATACATAGATCATCATCTTTTGCTACGACTAGTATCCCATGTTCTCTATTGTTTACTTTTCTTTTCTTTTGTACTTCTCTTCTTTCATCATTCTCTGTGTTGTACTGTTCAATGGTGCATAATCCCTGTTGATTTGTTTCTTTTTGCTTATTCGATATTGAAACAGTTGCTTGATTGATGGGCGCACCAGTCATTAATTCAGTAACCCATGCAGTCAACATGCCGCTCATGCCTATAATAAAAAAATAAGTGTAACCAGTACAATTGTTCTTCGATAACAAAACAACAGAATTTCGACAACTCCAACACAGTTCTAGCTGCACTATTGAAGACAGACAAACTCAAAGAAATGAGACAAGAGTTATAATAGAGTGTGCGTGTGTGTGTGGCTGTAGATTTAATCCTTTCACTGACCGACACCCACACACTTATAAGGCTAGGTTTAAATCTTATTGCTTTTTTTGTGAGATTTCAACATTGTATTTCTATATAATATTTAACATCTTAGCTCAGTCACATTGTTACCCTTACATTAACATATTCAGTAAAATGATTTTAATCAAGAGAATAGATATATGCTACTGATTACGAAAATTCTAAGATATTTTAACTGAAAATTAATAACTATTTCTTTCTCGTAGTCCTTTTATTTTATTATTTGCTTTTTAAGAAATTTTCTGAATAATTTTCAGCACAATTAAATGTCTAGTAATATCTACTCAGCCTTAAGTTATATTTATTGGTTGAAACGAATTCAATAGTATGAATTGAAAACAAATTGTCTAATTTCTTCTTAATTAATAAGTACCTGAAGAAACAAATACATCGACTGCTAATCGTGTACATTGTAGCCAGACTGATATAATTTGTCTATATTGCCAATTGTTGTCTTGACATTCTTTCAATGCTTTTTTTGTTGGTTCAATTAATACAATTAATTGACCTACTCCAGAGTTTTTCGTTAAATATGCTTTCAAGGGAACTCTTATTTCTTTCGGTTCATCACGTTCACAGTTTGTTTGTACAACTTCATTTAACAACTCTTCGCCAGGTAATTTATTGTACCATTCTTCACCTTCATAGGTGTAAGAGTATGAATTAAAACATGGTAAATTTGGATGATAATGTTCTGGTTTCACTCGATGAATACGAAGCGTTACTTCTGAATAATTATAAACCATAAATGGATAAAATGGTTCATTTAATACACCAGGATCCATTGTAATCATACCTAAAACAAACTTCTCTTTATTTAGTTATAATCAATGTTTCTTGCTGTAAGAGAAGAATTGGTATTTTATAATAGACAACATCCATATTTTAGAAGTTTTCTTTTTTCAAAATTCTATTTTGTATTAGTTTTTTGTGCTATACCTGTTGCACCCGATATATTTCCAATTAATGGGGGCGAGTCATGTACGTGAAATTGAATTGGTTTATCAGAATGATCATGTTCTAATGTTTGACCATGTACATCTTTCAATGATGCTGACTGTATAAGTAGTGTATAAACAGTGTTTGGTTTGGAATTATTATAAAACGTTATTTGTCGATCATTGTCTTGTGTATGCTCAATACCTAAAGTAAATTTTTCTTTAATGTTGTTTTTTCTCTATCGATTAAAAGCACACATCTTATATTGTTAACATTTTGTTAGTGAACTGCCAAATAAACAGTAATAGAAATCAATGATGGCATTTTCTACATAAGTTCGTAAAACTTATCCAGAAAACGTCGTCATCTTTGTTTACAATTACACTTTTCTCATTAACACCCAGACATAAGAAAATATGTCATGAAACAAGTTTCGTCTACAATTACCTAAACTATTGACTTCTGGTTCGAATTTGAATAATGATTTATTAATTGTTGAATGATCTAATGAATTATTGAATGTTAGTGACCAACTATAACCAGGAGCAGCAGATGGTTGCCACTCATTCTTTTTATTTGGAAACCAATCAATTATTTTTAAAGGTTCATAAGTATGAAAGCTTGCTGACCACTCTGATGTTGTCTTTAATGGACCTTCAGCTGATGGGCAGCCTACAGGTACTTGAATTGTATATTGTGTTGCTTTTAATAAATCATGTTTAAATGTAAACGCAACATATTTTTCATGATTTCCTTCATTAGCATTCATGAACGATTCAAATTCACTTTTTGCTGTTGTTTCATTTACTAGTTCTAAGTCTTCGTTTTGTATCATATGTCCATCACTATGCACTACACGTAGATGCTTTAGAATTTCATTCATATCAATTTTTTGATTAAATAAAAGAAAACATTTAGGTTTTAATGTTGATACTGTTCCACATGGTAAGAATTGAAGAACTTTTGGCGCTGTTGTTGAAAATTCGAAGAAAAATTCATCATCTAACTTTCCTAAAAACAATAAGAACATCAAATATGAGTGTAGAATATAAGGTACAAGCCAAAGGCATCATTTTACAGTCTCAGAAAACTCCTTTTCCTGATACTGTGCGTCTATCGAGCCTCAATGGTGCATCCGAAAGTAGAAACACTCGTACAAATGCTAATTGTGTCATCGTGGATCACATCATTTTGAAAAAAAGTAAACATCTCGATATAAATTTTTTCGTCCAAAATGAAGTTAACTTAATTAATCTATTCAATACTACTATATAATGTGTTAAAATTATTCGTAATATTACATGTATCTAGACAAGCATAACAACTATACACCACACTAATATGTTTAATTTCCAACAGATTGATCTTTTAAATAGGAAAAGCCTTCTAATTACACACGAAGATTGTGTTTAATAGTACAAGAAAGAAGTATAGATGCTTTCGTTGGCATTTTCTTTTGCAATGATTAAACTAGACTTAAGAAGCGGTTTGAGATAATCAAAAGAAAAATATGTCGATCATTTTGTCAGCAACTCTATCTTTTATTTTGGCAACTGTTTCTTCTCAAGAAACTATTAAAATTCCTGTATTGATTACCGTTTGACAACAGTTTTATAAATTGATTAAGTTTTGAACATAAAGTTGAATCAAATATAAATTAATCCTCATGTTTCTCAATACTCAAGCTTCTTCGTGCTCAACTTTTATCTATCTTACAAAAATAACTCTAGCCAGGTGTTTTCCCTTAATCTAAACTCTTACTGAGCTCTTACATTTCTTTCTAAAAGTTAACACTGCTATGAGATTTAGCGCGGATAACAGCCTATGTTTTCACGTATATCTGAAGGTCCTCACACTTTTGGACGTATGGAAATCTAAGAGCTTCAGGAAAAAAGTCGAAGCTTGTTCTATAAAATAGGTTGTCTTCAAACTCTTTCAGAGTTGGGTTCAACATAATTTTTAAAAACTACTTTTACTTAGGAAACCATAGAACAAAGCCTCCTTTTTCAATTATCGAAAACAATTAGCTTTTGTCTTTTATTGTTTTTAAGAGTTTCCTCTCTTTTTTGACATCCATGAAAACTTTAGAAGTCGGTATTTCATCGAGCTGAAATTATTACCACATATACTTGAGTCTCTATCTCAGATTCTCACGTTTTTTTCAAAAAAAGTTTTTTTTTCGCGAGATATTCAAAAAATACTAAAAATCTGCAATGAAAAATCGATTTTTTTTTATTGTAAAATTCTTTAGAAACCGAAGGTTGAAGTAAAAAACGCTTCAAAAATATTACAGTCTGAGATAGAATCCGAAATATCTGCAATAAAGATTTCAGCTCGATTGGTACCATTGTTTCGACGGGTTGTAAAATGACGGGTTGAAGGAGCTATTGAAAACATGCAAGCAAACAAAAACAACTCATGGTTGTACAAGGTTGCTTTCGTTACCATGTTTATATCTGCGCGAAAGTTCATCGGAAAACTGTGAGAGTCCTCGTTTGAAGAAAAGACTTTTTCTATCAAACTATGCAAAGAGAAGTTTATGAAATTAAAAATTTGAATTTTTTCAGATTTTAAAAGACAAGTTTAAAAAAGCATAACCTTTGCGAAGAAGGACGTAGACTGCTCGGAACAGTCTCATTTTGTAGGTCACACTTTCTTTCACCTTAAAATATATTCATTTCAAAACCAAAAGATTTTTCTTTTAGATGTGTTTGCTAACTTTTATAGTTTCAAATTAGTTTACCTCCAATTGCTGATACACAATGTTCTTTGTCGACTCTTAGTGTATAATTTGTTGAATATGGTAAACGATGTTTTGCTTCAAATTGAAGTGTTTTTGTTCCTGTCCATCTCCATCGACCTTCTATTTTTGGTGTTAATGATATGCCTAGATCTTCCGTATTCATTTTATCATCTAATGATGAAACAGCAATCATTGGTTGATTAAATGTCAATGTAATAGTTGATAATACATAATCAATTTGCCTTTCACTAGGAGAATGTCTTTCAATGATTAGTGAACCTGCTTCTTGTTTAGCCAGCTGTTTCAATTGTTCAATATCAATGTCGAGATCTTCTATGCGGTCTGATGGAGGAGGTGGAAATGGAGTTTGTATTACTTTACTTGTTTTTGGTGCTTTGATTGTTGCTTCACGTTTAAAAAACTCTTGCTCATCTGCCGATTCTGCCACCAATTCACAACTAGCTTGACTGAATAAGTGTTGTAATTGATCCGGAGTTAAGTTCTGTTGCTGTGAATCATAATTTAGTGGTGTCACTTCAACATCAGTCGTAGCTTCATCATCCATTTCATTTGCTTCGTCAATATTAAAATAAAATTGATAGGACTTAGACTGTTCATTTTCGAACGTCAGATTTTGTATCTGTCGCATATCCTTCATGAAACTACGTTTATAGAATGAAACTATATTAGAGCTGTAATTTAATCTACAAAGATAATAGAATATATAATGCAACTGAATATTTCTAAGTTAGACGAATGTCACAATAATATAGAGTTAGCTTTGGTTCTGGGTTGGCGTATGCATGGGTGCATACCTGTAGATTTAGTTGAAGCATAGATCCACACCCACACACAAATATTTTTTATTTAAATTCAATTCGACATTAAAGCGCAATTTTATGTGCAAGAATCATTCTAAAGAAAATATTCGAGTGGCACATGCCTTACTTTATGATAAAATAAGAAGTAACAGGTTTTTATGGCTTTATTCATCATGTGCTATCGACAACCATAACAAAAGTCTTATCAAAATGCACATCTTTCATGCACAATTACATATAACGCAACTATTGATAAGACTGCTCTCTTCACATACTTCGACTTCGAATAAGAGAAATGAATAAGTAAAAAAACAAAATATGAATTGTAATACTGTTTCTATTACAACTTTTCTATACTTGGTCAATCAGAGTTTTTTATATGCTTATATGAACTTTCAAGACATATTGATTGCACTCCCTTGTTCTTCAAACAAGTAATATTAAAACTTACGATGAAAAAGTTTGTAGCGTTATTTATTAAGATTAGACATATTCGGGTCAAATTAAAGCTCTTCTCATGTGCAATTGTGAGTGTGGATGTGCATGAATGGAATATGGAGTGTTCAATTGGCAATAGGTGCGATCGAGATGAAAGCATTTATTCATGCCTACACCCATACTTTAAACCAGGTTTACCTCGACGCCTGATGAACATAAGCTACCTAATTGCATGCAATATATTGGGCCAAGATAACGATGTGCAGCAGCTAAGCGAGTAAAGACCGCTTTCTGGAAAATTGGAAGCATATGATTGAATAATCGGCCAATGAAAAAACATTCGCGTGAAAGGGCGTACAATATAACCTCTGAAATGGGCTGGAGAAAGTTTTGAAGCGTTCTTAAAAATTGTCTAGTCATTAAACTGGACCATCGAGAGTTAACAATATTCCTAAATTTTGAATATTCCACTTTATAAAAAGACTTAAAATGGCACCAAAACTCGACAAAACAGCACTAGCCCATTCATCTTCATAATCGCAGCCAACACATTCCATTTCTAGTCGTCCACTAAGTTTGAGATCAGTGATGATCGAGATTCATCGGTGCATAGATTTCTATTCATGAGATTCTCGCTTGTTCTTCTTCATTCTCTTCCATTTCAAAAACTATGACCCCATCACTCTCCTTCAGTGATCTCATGTATCGCTCTCCATGATTCTACTTTCTTCAACCTACCTTTCTGCATATGATTAATCATGATCAATATTTGAAGTAACTACAAGAAATAAGAGAGAGAGAGAGAAAGAGAGAGTGAGAGAAAGAGCAGAAATATTTTTCACATATCGAACTTCTTTGTATATACGTGCTTTACACCATCAGATTCATATTAAGACATAAAATAAAGAAAAGTATATTGATTCACTTGTGCATCTTAACAGAAAAAACCTCTTATTAATTTACCAGCGACGAACAACGAAATAAAAAAACGATATCACCTTCTCTCTCATCTTCTGCTCAAATATTTCTCTGTCCTCGTATCCAATGGTACTGTAATTTAAAAGAGAATCCTTGGTCTTTCACCGTCGACGAATCGCAACAGTACATAGATGTAGAAAATGAAATCATTGAAGATACATACTACAAGAAGAAGTTAGAGGTTGAACTTGACGGTGGTCAGGTTTTTAACTTTGAACGTCAAGTACAACAGGCGAAAAATGATAAAGACAAGCAACACTCATTCAAAAAGAGTTCAATATTACATAAGTCTTGGTAATGTGCGTTTGAGAGAAGAAAGATTTTCGTCATCCGTAACACTTGCTACAGAAAGAATACGCTCAGACAACATGTCACCACCTCCTAATACACTTAATGTTGTGAAACAATATTGTGATATTGAAATAGTTTTTAGCGGTGAAACAATACCTAGAGTTATTGACGATGCTATACAAGAAATAATTAAAACAGACACTGCCTTGGCACAGAAAAGGAATCTCAATGGTTAGCTCAAAAGTTAGAAAGTGTAAAACATCACACTAATTCAGGCGGTTGGATTCCACGAGAGATTGGACACGCTGTTATTTCCACCCACACGAGAAACTGTTTCTGATACAAAGTCGTCAATTGTCTTCTTCGTGATCTTAGCACAATGGTCGCTGAACACGCAGATACAATAAGTCCATTTTGCTATTTATTACATAACTATTTACAGTTCGTAGCGCACGACTGAACAAAAGGCCTACTTGTGTATCGTGGCGTCGAACTGACAGGCCAGCAACGACAAAGTTTTATGAAAGTATATATTATATTCACTTCTTTCACATCGACAAGTCGAAGACGAGATTTAGCCGAACTATTTGGCAATACTCTACTAATAATTGGCCTAGAGGAAAAAATATTTAACGGTCCACATTCAAAAAGGGTTCGTTGCGGAGTGGATATTTCATGCATATCTAATTTTCCGGAGGAAGAAGAATTCTTGATATGATGACACAGAAATTTCATTTTTGTCGAATATGAATATGATGCAGTAAAAGATGAACATATTATTTCTTTTAAAGGAGCAACGGACAACTTTTAATTCATACTTTTCCGATTTCTTGACTGAGCTTCCCATGTAAAGATAAGAAATATAATATTTCAACACCGACTGAGCCCGGTTACATCAACATTGTCTTTTTTTATCGATTTTCTTTGTCAAGTTTCATAAAAGTGCTTTGTGTATAACTGATATTGGAATATTTTTTAAGTTTTCCTCTATGTTTATCAAGTATATTTAAAATTTTTGGCGCAGATGTGAATAGGCGTGGGTCTACGTCTTTTCTATTACCATACCTACACTCACACCCCAAGATTTCTTCCATATTGGCAAACTGGTCCATCTCAATCATCCAGTTAGCTATTCGATGCAATCCAGTTGATCCTTCTATAGTATTTATCATATGTTCAGTAAGTTTGTTGAACTGTTCGTCATCGTCACTTATCAAGGTTAAATTGATTTGCTGCAATCGATTTTGAATTTCTCACATTCCACTAATACCAAATACAATATGCATTGAAAACAGAATTTATTCTTCTATGTCTGCATTATAATTAATCTCGGTTAGAGATGCAAACAGAATAGACAATATAGTTAGATTCATTTCTGTTGAAAAAAGAATTCTTGTAAGATTGAAATTTTGTCGAGGGCTGTCTGCATATAGAAAAGCTATTCTTCGATCGACAGCTGTCGGTAAGAAGTTATTGAATAAGAGAAGACATTCTTTTATTTATTTTTTTAATATTTTCGAATTCAACATTTAACATACTTTGATTTCGACAAACAACCGATCGAGACTAATCGTTCGCTTGAGAATGTAACTTGAATTTGTTCATGAAGATCTTAAAGAAAAAATTCCATGTTAAGAATAACTTCTAGATCTTGTGTTCGCGAGCTTTATTCAACATCGAATAAGTAAAATATTGTCAAATATACTACCAAATAGGCGATCGATGATCCTACTTCGTTTCGAATTCATCAATTATCTGCAATTTGATAGGACTATTTACAAACTGTTCTCGATAAAAATCGACTAGTTTTTTCTTTGCAAATGCGTCACATGGTAACTTCATTATAGTGTCCTTAAGTAATTGTGAATACATGAATAACTGATCAACATCATTTATATTGTTTGGAAATGTAGTAGAAAGAATCTTTGTTGATATGAGATGAGTTTCTGATTGTTGAACATCTGGTTTTTATGTATGAGAAATAGATTGAATATGTGGAAAAAACTATTTTGTATTCTGATATTTGTTTGCCAGTTGTTCATGTACTGTTTTGTTATTACAGAATGTATATAGATCAAGTTGATTTATTGGATATTTTCAATAAATGGAACATGGTTTTGTCCAAGTGAACCGGAAATAATCAAAAACACTTTGTCATTTGTGATATCAGTGATAAATTCAATACATTGATCAGTATTATTCAATGTTTGAACTGAATTGACCATTTGTTGAAGTTAACTAATAGAATAGTAAGTATCTTCATTTTTCTCATTAATAGTAGAATTCAGTCAAATAAGAATAAAATTTTCAACAATAAAAAGTCATAAAATTCGTGACTCAATGTTAGTAACAGTTATATGAGTTCTATTATAGTAGCAGAAGATTGAGAAATCATATTCTTGAGTTTTTTTGACAGCATTTTGCTCGTATTAAATGTATCATTTTTTGAATGTTAACTATTGGTCTCTATTTTCAATATTACACGTATTTATTTGTCGGTAATGTAAAAATTCTATTGCTATATATGCATGAATCATCAAATCAAGATCGACTGAGAGATCCATCTATGTACTTAGTTCAAATGAAAGTTCCGCAAAAAAAAGTTGATAAAACCGTATGGAAACAAAAGGTATATTTACCTATATACTTTGTTTTCGCGAAAGTTCAGTCCCACATAAGTGATGGCGCCACAGTACACGCAGAATTCGATAGTAACAGCCATAAAATTAATACACTTATTAGAATTATTGAATGCTTTGATTAATTTGAGTATCTATTGAAGTGAATTAACAGAATAGTAGCTATCTTCATTTTCCTCATTAATAGTAGAATCCAGCCAAATAAAAATAAAATCTTCAATGATACGAAGTCGTAAAGTTCGTGATTCAATTTCGGTAACATTTATATGAACTCTATTAGTAGCAGAAGATCGAGAAATCATATTTTTGAGTTTTGTTAACAACAATTTGCTCCTACTAAATGTACCATTTTATGAATGACAACTATTGGTCTCTATTTTCAATATTACAAGTATTTATTTGTCGGTAGGTAATGTAAACATTCTATTGCTATATATGCATGAATCATCAAATCAAGATCGACTGAGAGATCCATCTATGCACTTAGTTCAGATGAAAGTTCAGCAAAAGAAAAGTTGATAAAACCGTATAGAAGCAAAAGGTATATTTACCTATAACTTTCTTTTCGCAAAAGCTCAGTCCCACATAAATGATGGCGCCACACTACATGGAGAACTCGATAAATAATACAGTCAATTTTGTGTCAGAAGAAATAGAAAGAAAAGATGTCGTTAAATCAACTTCTCGGTTTTTAATTTCATGATTATAGTGGATCAGAAGAATTGGAAGTCATAAATGATCTTTATTAATGATACACTTTATATACTGTAAGCATGAGCTTTCAAAAGCCAGCCCCATCTTAGGTATCACCACACGTGGTGCATTTGACATTGACTAATATTTCTCCTAGTGATGTCAGAAAAAATTTAAGCGAGATAGAGTTCAGTCCTATCTCTCCTTCTAAGGTACTCGTTGACCTACTTGAGACACTAAGGGTGTGCGTGTGCGTGTGGGTATTTTATTAACCCACATAGCCACACCCACACTTGATCAAATACTTGTCTTATTTTGTTTTTTTTTCTATTCTCCTGTTGTTCCTTCATGTTTTGTCTCATTTCTTCGTTCTCTTCTCGCCTATTTAGATAAAAATATTTTATTTTGACTTCTCCAAGCACAAACATGAATAACTACCTGTTCGAATATTTTCTTTCTTCGCCACTCTCTTCAACTTCATGTGAAAATAAGCTGTTGATCTTCATTTCAATCTGCAGATGAGAGTGTGTTTGAAACGCAAAAATATTTCTGCATAGCCTAATTGTCTGATGGAATAACTATGGAACCAATTAACTGACACAATCGATAAATAGACCTTTTTATGTCACTGAGACATCGACTACGTATATAGATGGTTATATTTAGCAACCGATTAGGAGCTAAGTAAATATTTCGACTCACTCTTTATTCTTAATATTGAATTCTATATTCGACAAATAATCAGATATTCCGGATAGCAATTAAATTTGATGATTTTTAGTTTAATTATGTTCTTTTGATCTAATTGAAAGATGACAATATTCAAATAGAGAACCATATATCTGGTAAAAAGAAGACGGTTTACTCCTTTCCGAAAGTTTATTACTTTTTATTTGTCCTAGAAATAATTCCTCTAGTAAATTTTCATATGGGTGTTTAATCTCGGAAATATATAGGAATTGATCATAATACGATATCTTGATTTTTCTATTCAGACATGGGATGAATAACAAGAAAAAAATCAGACAACATTTGAATGATGAGTTTCACGAGAGCCGAGTGTTGACTTGAGAATCATTATGGAAGACGTAATGGTGGTATCTTTGATAGAGCCTCGAAACCTTGAGAAGATAATACATTGGTTATAAATGCGTTTAGTTCCATGTTCTTTTCATTCATATTCGAATAACTGGGACTCTTAGAAATTATTTAAGATATTTCTAATTTTTAGGGTATCGGTGGTCGATGGGTGTGAATGTGAGTATGAATCTATTCTTTACCCAGACCCACACCCTATCCAAAGATTGGATAATAATTTATTTAGTGCTCTACTTCAGATAATGCCATCGACATTTTGGGATCTCTGTTCCGATATTCTTTTAGATATCTTTCCTTATTTCTCAATCGATCAACTTTTTTTTTCATTTTATCCTAATGTTCTTCCTAGTCTCCAAACGCTTCTTTCTGAAAGTCGCATGAAATTTCAACTTTGTCTCACTAATGATGATCATTTTAATGCTACACTGCTTTCTCTTATTGATCGAAATCAAATCAGTTCATTATATATGACAACAGCGAAAATCGGATCTATGAAATTTCTCGAACTGCAATTGATTACATTGATCAACATTCATATTGATCGTATGCTTCTACAAGAACTATCAAAATTACCTCAATTGACAAGCGTCATTTTGATTGGCTCTCAAATGAGAAAAGAATGCTTTAGAAACATATTTTGTTTACCTTTTCTTAAATACTTTGAAGTAAATTTACATGGTGGTTATTTAGATATTCCAACAGCATCCTATAAAAATACATGTCCAATTGAAGAACTTGTTTTCCGTACAGCTTGTTCATGGGAACATTTACAAAGATTACTTGTTCATTTATCTCGGCTGCGTATTTTACGTGTCATGGTAAATGTTGATAGAACTTCGGATATTAGTAGACAATATACTAATAAATCTCTTTCTTCTATCGAAATTTTTGATCTTACTTGGCATTCAATTGAAATGGAAAACGTTCTTCATTTTGCAGATTATATGCCAAATTTAAAACAACTCCATTTATCTGGTAAAATGAATTTGAATAATTTGAATAGTTTGCTATGGCAAGACCTTTTAGAGGTTGTTCGTCCGAATTTAAAACGATTAAATGTCAATATGTTAATTTCGATTAGAGAAGGAGCAGACAAAATCAAAAAGAATTTCGATGCCAATCTCTTTTTTCAACGAATTCAATTTCATTTAATACTGAGTAAAAAGGAGGATGAATTATTAAAACTTATCGGTGATTTTCGACGCTAAATTTCACAAGAAAAACTTTTTTTTGTCAACATAAAAACAAATATCTTGATTCTTTTTTAATTATTAATAAAGAAGATTGATAATAAAAGTGAACCATCACTGACTAATAGCGTCTGAACTTCATACTTTTGTAAATATCGAGAATGATCAACAACAAGAATACAAAGTAGAAAATACTCATCTTTTTAGTGCTGACCTATAATTAGTTGTCAATAATTCAAGGTTTTATTATATGCTAAAAGACGATGTGAAACCTGTATTCTACTCGAAATTAATTCAAAATGATAATGGTGAACAGAAAGGTTTAGATTCGTATTGATTGAATGATCAATATGCACTTTGTCTGTCGAGCTTGATTTATTTACCATTCATGGATACTATTGTCAGGTATTAGTTCTCTTACCAAGCATCAATAACGATCAGCACACGAGAGTATCAAGCATCTTCGAAAAAATTTATAATAATCGAGTACTAGTTGGTCAGTTGACATTGACCGATGTTTCATCTCTGATAAGGCTACTCGAGTATTCGAAAATAATGAGCTCGATGAGCATTGCATGTATTCATACAGTAGGGAACGGGAATTAATTCAACTTCTTGGATCAACTTGTAGTATCAAAGGAAAACACCAGTATGAATCATTAAATCCGTATGAATCGCAGAACAAGTTTCCTCAGGATAGTGAAGTTTTTTTTTTATAATTCTGATTGACTGATTGAGACGAATAAATCATAACGTGTTTTCATCTTTTAGTTTCATTCTCTTTCAATGTTACAATGATAGGTGTGCTAGTATGACTATTTGTATCTTGCACTTTTCTGTCTATTATTATTGATCAAGAAAGAAAACTTTCATTCCTGTTTATGCTGCGTCCAAAACCTATGCATTATCAACAGAACAGACTATTCATTTTTCCATAAGAACTTGAACGGGTACTCTAGTCGATCTTTGTCTCTCATCTGCTCAATAAAAATAAAGCTCTGTTTGATGTTTCCTTCTCTTAACAATATTTGACACAATAGTTGATAAAAAAATGAATACGATCATCTGAATCTTGACAATAAGGTCTCAATAGTTTCTTTTATGGTTGAGGAGAATATCTTATTAATTAATGATGTGTAGTGAATGTTTACCTTGTTCATTCGATGAATTTTTATTTTCACGTGGAAAGAAAACACATGTTTGATCATTTACTACTCCCATGTCAAAGTTCAATCACATATAAACGGCAATTACTGACCGAAGATAGATATTCGAAAATAAAATGAAGATATCCCTTATCCAAGCAAGAGATAGACAAAAGGAAACAGTCGCTCTCTGGACAATCTATACTTGAGGGTGTGTGGATGTGGGCGTCTGTGAAGAAAAGAACTAAACCTACACCCATACTCCAAGATGTAGATGAATGGTTTCTCTTTACCCACATCCACATCCACATCCTAATGAACACCATGAACTATCAATTAATAAGAAAATATTTTATATTGTGTTGCTTCAACTTCCATAGAAAAAGATCAATTACAAAATCGCTAAACTTGAAGAAAAAAAGCACAAAAGTTATATTTTTTTAAAAGGTACTGTTTGATATACAGCCTTGACAATGTTTAGTATTGGTATCAATATCATTTGAAAGTTTTACAAAAGCTACGATGTTTTCGAGTGCTCTACGACGCTCTGTTTTGCCAAACTGCATCAAATTTACGGAAAGTTTCATAAAGAATTTCTATCAAGTCGTTTTTCCTTCCATAGTGACTAAAGTAACCAAAATAAACCCAATGATAAATTACAATGATAAACAATTAGTCAATTTTGTTTTGATTATGTAAGGTGATATCAAAACCATAGATATGTGTCGAACAACATAGCCACTCACAAGAAAAGTTTCCCAACTACATATTTAGTTTAGAGTCCGAGCTCTGTGTGCACCATGTAGATCCTAATGAGCCTAAATGTCCTGAAAAGATGCGAACCACTAGGAAAATGTGTTTTCCTATTCGAACTTAAAATTTTCCGCAGAGACAGATCTTAACAAGAATAGGTTATTGTAACATTTTCAAGCCTTTTGATGAAGTACATAGTCTCGAATCAAAAGTGATCAATTGATTTGAAGACCTCTTTCGTCAGTCATCACAACTATAATTTGTGAAGAATCAAGTGTAGATATCTTATTGCAGACTTCAACTGTAAGAGAAAAGACGATTCTTAGCATTATTGGCTTTCAAAAGTCGAGAAGAAGAAAACCAAAAAAAAGAAAATAGAGAGATTCATCGAAACATCTACTATTATAAACTATGACATAATGAAACGAAAATTTCTAGTGAGAACACATTAAGTAGAAAATAAGAATAAATTAAAGTGAAAGAAATATTTTTTTTAATTTTTGTGTATTACTATTTTCTTTCTGTAAAGACTCAACAATGCTAACAGAACAAGTAGGAATTAATAAAATAGTTCTGTTGTCATTGTTTTAAAAGAAGTTTCTCAACATGGATTATGAGACTTGTTTCAAGAAAATAAATTTTATCCTCAATATTCCTATAGACAACTACTTGTAACAACATAATTATTTTGTGAACTCTTTCAACGTGGTTGATTTCAAAATCAAATTTTAATTGCAGCATTTTGAGTTATAATTTAAGGATTAAAAAGAATGGTTGCAACTGATCTTAGGAATTTTTCTATGGCAGTACTTAATCGATGTAAGACACGGTGAGATATTTTCTAAGAAATGCCATATATAAGGAGCACTGCAAATTTTTTTTCATTAGTTCTTTGCAGAAATATTCAAAGGCTATTTCTAGTGTGATTTTTCAAAGCACTACTCCTCATTAACAATACACTGATGCACTTGATTAAAATAACCTGTGGAGGTAGAAGTTGAAATACATTTTCAAGAAACCGTTAATGATTTCTCAAAGCATATGTTATATTGGATTTCTGCTGTTGAATCTAATATATATTTCCATATGCTTGAGGAAACCAAATTCAGTAAGTCCATAGTATTGATCATGTCATGTTTTCAGAGTGAAAGTTGGGACACTGAATATCGTTCTCTAATTTTTCTACTGAAGCACTTTGAAAACTTATACTAAGCAGCTATTCATAGGTTTTCTACTATCTCCTAGATCTCAACAGTATGGACTTCGTTCACCTACATTTTGTAGCAAAAAAATGGCGTGATGTACTTGTCTGAACAGTTGTTTCAATGAAATTTCCTTTGTGTATGCTACTGATAATGTCAAATACCAGATTGAACTTGATCCATCCTTATATCTTTAGAAAAGGATGAGCGATTGAATATGAATTATGCTCAGAGTGTCTCTTCTATTAATTTACATGTTACATGAGAACCATCTTCGATTATTATTCGAACAGCAGCTGAACGGATAACATGATATTTTTCTGGTTAAAATTCATGAAGCCTATTGCAAACTAGCCAATCTGAAGCTTCTTCATCCCACTATTGTTTGTAAGTCATTCAAAAGTGATGTATGAAAGATCAGAAAGAAATGTGAAAATAAGATGTCGTACAAGG